AAGTTATTCAGATTATATTGATATAATAGATGAAGTAGAGAATATAGAACAAGTAATAATAACTGACAACAGATGTAAGAAAGTATGCTTTTATACATTAGAATTAATAAAATTAGGAATACAATATATCAAAAATAAAAATGTAAATATTAATATAAATGGGAAAAAAGAAAAACAAAAAGAATAAAACAGATACTACAGTTTCTTCAACAGATGAAGACAAAGAAGAAGAAATTGTTAAAGAAACATCAGTTATTGAGTTTGAGTGTCCTATGTGTAGAAAGATGTTAGCAATGAAGAGCGAATTAGAAATTCAAAAGAAAGGAAATTGTAAATGTTCGTGTATTCCGACAAATTTCAAATTGAGTAAAAACGATAAGAAAATGAATATTGATAAAACTAAAGACAGTATAAATCTGGAAACGGATGTTCATAATATAACTTTTAAATGGGGTCGTGATGTGTCAGCAAGTAGTCAAGAAAAAGAAACGCAACAAACCGTTAAAGAGATCATGAAAAATGCTTAAACAATAAAAAACAATATATATCAATATGAATAGTGATAAAGTTAAAAATGCTAAAAATTATCAAAACGGTAAAATATATTGTATTAGAAATAGTACAACTAACGATTATTACATTGGAAGCACCTGTCAAAGTCTAAGTCAAAGAATGGCACAGCATAGAGGTGACATGAAGAAACAAAACCGCCAAAATACAATAATATATCCATTTATGTTAGAACACGGATATAACAACTTTTATATTGAGTTAATTGAAGAATGCCCCTGTGAAAACAAATGCCATTTAGAAAGGAGGGAAGGGGAATTGATAAGAGAGTTAAAACCAACTCTTAATATTAAAGTGCCAGGAAGAACACAACAAGAGTTTAAACAGGACAACCCCGAATATGTCAAACAACAAAAGGCAAATCGTAATAAATCATATCGTGAAAACAATAGAGAGAAAGTGTTAGAGAACAAGTTGAAGTACCGTGAAGCAAACCGAGAAGAATTAAGGGTAAAAGCGAGACAATATCGCGAAGAACATAGAGAAGAAGTTAATAGAAAACAAAGGGAAGCATACCACAAACAGAAAGAACAACAAAATATAAACTCATCCGATAATGGTGATAACGAAGCACAGGAAACTATTAAACAAATGATGAAAATTTAGTACTTAAAGAGTAGATTTTACATTAAATCAATTTTATAAATAAATAAATATTTAAATAAATAATTATATAAATAAATATATATAGAAATGTCTGAAGTTGAGAATGATGCTATTGCTGAACTATCAAAGAAAATAATGACAGTTAGTAAAAATGTTAAACTGTTGTACGAGATGATAAAAACTATTCACCAGAAACTTGATGCAAAGGCATACGAACCAAAAAATAGCAATGAAGAGAAGGAAAAGATTGATAAAATCTTTGAAAAGAAACAAATAGGAAGACCGTCTGGCAGTTTTCAAGATAAGCAAAAGCAATATATGGATATGTTAAATAAGAACAAAATTAAATCTCCAAAAACAGAAACTATTGAATTTTATAAACTGTTTAAGAACGAAGAAGGAAAATACGAATTAATATAATAAATTTCTAAATAATTCTAATAATATGAATTTATTAGAATTCGCCTCGGCCCCAAAGGGGCCAAGGGCGCTCAGATCTCTTCTCCAAAGAGAATCTTCGCTTTTCCCCTCCCCCAACCCCCTCCCCGACCAAAATTTTGCCGGGCCGCCCCCCCCAACCCATGTCGGCTGGACCCAAAATCCTGTCCGGCGGGCCTTGAAATTTTCGGGGTTCGTCGGCGTCCAGCTCCATGGGTCCATTTTTGTCGAAAATGTGCTGACAATTGCGAAAATCACTAAAAAATTGCTTTTTTGTCCTGAAAAGCATGACCTCCTGGTGGCCAGGCCTGCCTGACGTGTCTGAGACTAGGCTCAGGCCCAGCCCAACCAGCAACCCGCCTGCTGGCCAGGCCTGTCAGCCCCACCCAGCCTCAGGCCCAAGCTTGTCTGAAACCCCAAGTCATCCCCCAGTCTCACGTGTCTGAAACTGGTCTCAAGCTATGCCAGCCACCAAGCCCGTCTGACGTGCCCCAGCCCCTCAGTCCGGCTGCCCAAGCAACTCAGCCCAGGCTGGCCAGGCCTTGACCTCCGCTCGCGTCTGGCCCCAAGTCATCCAGCAGGCCCAGCCCCGTCTCAAAGTACGCCAGCCTGAGACTGGCCTCAGGCCCAGCCCAGCCCAGCCAACTCGCCACCCAGCCTCAGGCCCAAGTGTGTATGAAACAGGCCTTGCCCATCCAGCAACCCGCCCAAGCACAGCTCAGCCCAGCCCGCCCAGCCCAAGTTCCAGGCACAACCAGCAGCCTGGTCCGGCTGCCCGGCAGCCAGCAACCCACCCATGGCTTCGCAGCCTCGTGGCTGAGACTAGCTTCAGGCCTGCCCAGCCCAGGCCCCAGCGCATCTCAGGGCATGCCAGCCACTACCGGCCCCCAGCTCCCAGGTCACCAGCAGGCTCAGCCCAGTGTGCCAAGGTCAGGTTTGTCTAACATGTCTGAGACTGGCCTCAGGCCAACGACCAGTCTCACGTGTCTGAGACTGGTCTCAAGCTATGCCAGCTACTCAGCAGCCCAGGCTGACCAGGCCCCTTCGGCGCAGTCTGAGACTGGTCTCAAGGTATGCCAGCCTGAGACTAGCCTCAGGCCCAGTCCCTCAGCCCGCCTGCTGGCGTGTCTTACGTGTCTGCGACTGGCCTCAGGCCCAGCCTAGCCAGCAACTCGCTACCCAGCCTCAGCCCATCCAGCGACCCGCCCAAGCACAGCTCAGCCCAGCCAGCCGAAGTTCCAGGCGCAACCAACACCATAATCCAGCTGCCCAGCACCACCCATGGCTTCGCAGCCTCGTGGCTGAGACTAGCTTCAGGCCCAGCCCAACCAGCAACCCGCCTAAGCCAACCCCACCCAAGCCCACCCGGTTTGAGACTCGCAGGCCTCAGCCTATCTAGCGCCGAGACTGGGCCTCACCAGCCTGGGCTCAACTAGCGTCTAGCCCAGCCCAGTCCGCCTGCTGGCCAGGCCTGTCTGACGTGTCTGAAACTGGCCTCAGGCCCAGCCCAGCCATAGCCCAGCCCCCTCAGTGCGGCTGCCCAGCCCGCCGTAAACTAGCTTCAGCTCAACCAACAACCCACGCAAGCAAGGTCCAGCCAAGCTGCCCGAGACTAGCTTCAGGCCCAGCGCAGGCTTATCTGATGTGTCTGAGACTAGCCTGTGGCCCAGCCCAACCAGGCGAGGCCGGCTTGTCTGACTTGTCTGGAGCCAGCTTCAGGTATTCGGACCTTCCCAACACTGGATTTCGGTGTTCCTGACCCTTCCCTCAAACTAGGCTGGGCCGAGGCGGGCAACGCGAAGCGTTTACAATTATTTTCAGGCACAAGTTCAGTTGGAACGATTGCGAAGTCATTAGGCTTTAATGTAATATCATTGGATTTTAAAGAGTGGATTTAACATAATTTAAACATTTAGTTTTAAAAGTTTATTTTTATAATATAGTATATATGGAAGGAAAGGTTGAAAAAATGCTAATAGAGCTGGTTGAAGATGTCTCTGACAGTTTGACTTTAATAGCGCGGAATTTAGACAGAATAGCAAACAAAATGGAAAGCAAACCAACTTTCAATAGCAACAATAATAATTATCAGTCAAAAGATGTTGATAGAGACAGTAGCGAATACAAAAACAAGAGACGTATTTATATTACTAAAATTAATAATAAATCAATAAAATAACCTAAACCAAGTAGTATAGAATACTACCAAATCAAGTATAACGAAGAAAAGAAGCTTTATGAATAATTAAAATCTAAATATTTCTAATAATATGAATTTATTAGAATTATTTTCAAGCAGTGGTTCTGGGGATAATTATGTAATACATAAACAGGAAGATTTATACAAAATACCTGCTGAATTGATTTGTGAGATTTTGACGAGTTTGGTGGATTAGGTGCTCCAATTGAACTGCGTTGACCCACCCAAATGGGTCGCATTGACCCCTCCAAGTGGGTCGCTTTGACCCATGACCCCTCCAAGTGGGTCGCTTTGACCCATGACCCCTCCAAATGGGTCGCATTGACCCATCCGATTTCCCATAAACCTTACAATAAAAAACATTGTAAGATTTATGTTTGAAATTATGGGATTTTATATTTTGGGATTTTGGGATTTTAGTTTCAAGGAATATTGATTATAGGAATTTCTTAAAATGTATTTAAAGGTTTAATGACATTGTATTATAAGAACTATGGAAGGAAACATTTGTGTGTTTAATTAAAGGTAAAATGTATGAAGGAATTTTGGAAAACGGTTCATTCAAAACTGATAATGGAAAATTATGTAGAAACTGTGGTAGAATGAAACTATTTGACGAATTTAATAAAGATAATAAACAATGCAAGCAATGTTCAGAAAACAAAAGGAATAACCGAATTAAACATAAAGATAGATACAATGAGGAGCAAAGAAAAAGATATGAAGAAGATGATGAATATAGAAATAAATCACTTGAAAGTAATAGAAAATGGAACAGTATAAAAATTCAGTGTGATATTTGTGACTGCTATTTTTCTCAATGTTTAAAAAAGCAACCAACATCTTAAAACAAATAAGCATAAAATAAATTTAGAAATGAAACAGGCAGAAGAAAATTAACATTATTTTTATTAATAAATATTTTACATAAAATTGTATAAGGTTAATATGTAGAATAACTTCTTAACCTTATATAATAGTTCAATGAAGTTAAAATTATTTTCAAGGAATTAGATAAGGTTAATGAATATGAATAATGTATTAACCTTATTTAATATTTGAATTATAAACCTTTTTTTTATATTTTGCTAAGTTGTTATGAAAATTATTTTACTTCATTCAACATCTGTTCTGTATTTTTGGGGGGCGGGGGGCGGGCGCAAGCGCCAGCTACCAGCCGGCCCGCCTGGGGGCTGACGGACTGGTGCCGCGCCGTGCCGTCGAGGTGCGCCAGGTCCGGGAACCTTCGCCTCACCTCCGGCCGCA